ATCTAAATGACATAACACAAACACTTCCCTTGACAAAAAAAAATCATCTGCTTCATTTAGCTGCGGACAAAATGATCAAAATATGGGGAGCGTACGATGGAAAATTTGAGAAAACAATCTCTGGTCATAAATTAGTAAGTTGTATTGTGCTACAGATTTGTGATTCCGGTGCAGCACCCTGAGCTACATAGTCCAGTTGCCGAGCACCAGTGTGCATTCCATGCACTCCACGCCGGATATATCTGGCGGATATATCCGGATATATCCAGCGTGAGGTTACAAAATTGTTGGCGTAATGGTGTGATATCACTCGAAAACAAGTAATTAGTTTGTGCCTGATTTCATGGCCACATGTAAATTGACAGTATGACTACACGAATATGATGTTGACATGCAGTACATATTAAAAACACACCATATTAGCTAGTTCAAAACATGGATTTAAGTCCCCAAAATTGAAAATCTCCGATGTATTGGCATAAAGGATCGTACATGTTGGCGTATCTCCGGCGTTGAGTTTACATGGAATTCACCCTCTGCCGAGCATTAGCCACATGTAGAATAAGTATTGTATTAATATGAGTGTTTTTCATTTGGCTAATAAAGCTTCTAAGTTGACATTTTACATTTCCACACAGGGTATGTCTGATGTGGCCTGGTCATCTGACTCAAAGCTATTGGTGTCGGCTTCAGATGACAAAACACTCAAAATATGGGAATTTTCTACAGTATGTCCTACATTATTTCATAAGAAAAAGAGAAGATCATTTTGTAAAGAGATGTTTTTGTCAAGATGTTTTATATATGCAGGATCTTTTATCAATATGTTCTTATATGCAGAATTTTATCATTTTTAGGCGCGATGTTTGAAAACACTGAAGGGACATAGTAATTACGTCTTTTGTTGTAATTTCAATCCTCAATCAAATCTTATTGTCTCTGGTTCAGTAAGTATGTTTTAACTTTATTTGAATGATTGCCTAAACACTTGCTAGTGTTACCAACAGATGGGGGAATCTATTTATTGTTTTCTATAGTTTGATGAAAGTGTTCGTATCTGGGATGTCAAAACTGGCATATGTCTCAAAACGTTACCAGCTCATTCAGATCCTGTGACAGCTGTAAGTTGGAGAATCTTGCCAGATATATTCTGGAATTTACACAACAATGGACATGCCAAATAATTTCATTTTAATTATTTTGTATTTTAAATTTCTCAGTGGTTGTCGGATATTCTAGAATGACCAATAATTTATTGCAATTAATTGGAGTGAAATTCAATTATGTTATTTATCATAAATATAATGAATAATATTTCTCTCTGTAGGTTCATTTTAACAGAGATGGTGCCTTGATCGTGTCCAGTAGTTACGATGGTTTATGGTAAGTTTTTAGAGAGGTACACTCTCCGCAACTTCTGAACCCCTCCAAATCAGATGATTCTAGATGTGGTTTGCACAACCAATTTGTAAACAAGCTGTTATTTATCATTTTAGTCGTATCTGGGACACGGCATCAGGACAGTGTCTGAAAACATTAATAGGTATGTTAATTTTTTTATGTACTATTTCTGTTCAGCTTGAATGTCAAGCAATGATTGTGAAATTTTATTTACAAATATTTTTAGATGATGATAATCCTCCAGTTTCATTTGTGAAATTTTCTCCAAATGGAAAATATATTTTAGCTGCGACCTTAGACAAGTAAGGCAACATTTTACTTTACACTTCTTGATTCAAGAAATTGAACATTTATTGTGTCCAATACCATGAAGCTAACGTCCTTTATCCTATTGGTTTTAGCACATTAAAATTATGGGACTACAGTAAAGGAAAGGTATTTATCATGTCAAGTTTAGTTTTATATTTCTGCATTGTTCATTTGAATTTCTAGCACAACTGTAATTTAATATTTTTTCTTTACAGTGTTTAAAAACTTACACTGGACACAAAAATGAAAAATACTGTGTCTTTTCAAACTTCTCTGTAACAGGAGGAAAGGTGGGCTATAATCTTAAAAAATAATGTTTTTATTCAGAAACCTAAATTATATATTTAACATACGTTACTATCTTGTGTAACAGTGGATTGTATCGGGTTCAGAAGACAATATGGTGTATATATGGAATTTGCAGTCTAAAGAAGTTGTACAAACGCTTGCAGGACACACAGGTAAAGATATTACAAGATTTTAGTATTTACTGTAGATTGACCGACCTGTATTATCAGTTTTGGGTGTAGGTGATACTGAAAGGCTTCACTGCATTTTTTTTCTGATTATAATTCTCTAATAATTTATATCACATGTTTTTCAACTGTAGACGTTGTACTGTGTTGTGCGTGTCATCCAACAGAAAACATCATTGCCTCGGGAGCTTTAGAGAATGACAAAACTATCAAGATTTGGAAATCAGATGTATGACAGCTTCATGACCTTGATCAATGTAGAGGCCGTTGATTAGCTGTCTGATATTCCATGCCAGAGGTGGTCTGAGATTTGGGGGAAATGTATGAATGCTGAAATGAAAGAGGCAAGACAAGGAGATTTTGCTATCTTTCTCCAGCAATTCATGTGAGCAACTATAATGCATTAAACAGATATAATTCATATTGTGTTAGGGAATACTGCATCATTTTAATGCAAACATCAAATACTACATTTGAAAGCATCAAATACTATATTTGATACATATTACAACTGTATGTAGACTAGACAAAAGCCAATAATGTAAAAAGTATTTTGTAAAATATTAAAGAACACTGGTTTTTCTATTGATATTTTTCACTTCAGTTTTCTGTAGAAGTTCATCATTCACTTCACCACTTCAGTTTTCTGTAGAGATCATCGTCTTCTCTGTGTCATCGTTCACTTCAGTTTTCTCACGGTTAATAGAACTAGATCTATTAACCGTGGTTTTCTATAGAGATCATCGTTCACTCCATCACTTCAGTTTTATATAGATATCATCGATGGTTCATTTCAGTATTCTATAGAGATCATCTATGCACTCCATCACTTCGAGTGTATCTAAAAGTCGAGAGTCGAGAGTAAAAGTCGAGAGTAAAAGTCGAGAGTAAAAAGTCTCGAGTCGATCGAGAGTAAAAAGTCGAGAGTCGATCGAGAGTAAAAAGTCGAGAGTCGGCAAATGTCATCAGAAACAACAAAGACAAAATATTTTTATTTTTTAACCACGTTTAACACAATCTATATATATATATATAGCTTTACATAGCCATTCCGTAACAAGTACCAACGGCTGAAATACAAACTTTCCAATAAATAGTACTACAACAGTCAATAATCAGTGGCGGAAATTCACTTTTTCCGGTGGGGGGGAGGGGGGGGCAAAGCTTCCTAAATTTCCGACAAAACTTTGAAATTTCCGACGTACCCCCCCCCCCCCCATTTGCACTCGAAAAGACTGTTTTTAGCCCTCTTTTAGATAAAAAATTCCGAAAATTTGTCAATTTTCCCGAAGGTGTGGGGGGGGGGGCGGTGCCCCCCCCCACACCAAGATTTCCGCCACTGTCAATAATAATAACGTGATAACAAAAACAAAAAAGTTTGGATAAGAAAATAATAATATCGAATTAGATGCCTCAATCTTGCTAAATGTTTTCACATGTCATTTCATTCTAACTGACATGCACATAAACTTCGCTGAATTTTGACAGCCATCTCCAGGCTTGTAATTAAAATGTCACTTATTCATTAACGTACGTTTACATCAAACGAGAGCGTATTAAGAAATCCACGTTGATCACAATCTAACGATTCATACAATTGTGAATTCATAAATACGAGCCAGTAAAAATAGGATTCTTTTGTCGTATGTGTGACTCTATCGGGTGGTAATATGTCTCGCACGTGATTGTAAAGTCCTAGTATTTATATGTAGCTTCACATATGAGTAATTTTTCGCGGAAATAGGTGCATGCAAAAGTGGGAAGGATGGACAGTATTATATAAGGAAGCGATAAAACTAGTTATTAGATAATAGTTATTATTATTGAATGTTGTGGCTAAATTTTTGCGAAAGTTTTTGTTTTATATTATACTGGATTATTCCTTTGATTGTATATGCCTCTTGTTTACTTTAATTTCGAGAATTTGAGCATACTAAATTATGTTTCGCAAATATTGTTTGCTTTATGTTCCGATACACAGGAAATGAAATGAGTTCAGCCGTCATAGGCGTACGGGCGGGAAGAAATTTACCCGATCGAATTTTACCCACTGAATAAAATTTTCCGTGTAACTAAATTTCCAAAATTGTCGTTGGGAAGTAGATAAAAATATTTTCCTATTTGTCGATTCCTCGTTACTTTTACATATTTCTGGTATTTTCGAATACCATATTGCATGTACTGTCTTCTTTTTAAATTTATTTCCCCCAATTTTTCCCGAATTCAATACGTTTATAATTTGCATGACTTAATTTATTTTGACTGGGGGACGGGACTGCCTCCCCCCCCCCCTCGCCCGTACGGCTATAATCAGCCGTTGTTACGGATCGGTTATATATTGTGTTAAAAGTATTTTGACATTTTTGTTTCTGATGACATTTGCCGACTCTCGACTTTTTACTCTCGATCGACTCTCGACTTTTTACTCTCGACTCTCGACTTTTTACTCTCGACTCTCGACTTTTTACTCTCGACTCTCGACTTTTACTCTCGACTTTTACTCTCGACTCTCGACTTTTACTCTCGACTCTCGACCTTTACTCTCGACCCTCGACTTTTAGATACACTCCATCACTTCAGTGTCGTACAGAGATCATCGTTTACTCCATCACTTCAGTTTTATAAAGAGAAAAAAAAGTACAGCGGTTATCCCCATTAGTCAATTAATGGTCGAATTTTCTCATGCTATCGTGTCGTTTTGGTCGAAGTTTTGATATTTTTTCTTTGAAAACAAACTTAATTTCCTCCCGGTTTGGCGTGAATTTAAAGAGGAAAGATTATAGATATTTGACAAAGATATTTAGTTGTTTCACTATGGAGAATAACACAGGAGACTGTAAACAATCGACGTTCTCTGAGGCAGGGAGCGAGGGGGTCGTGAAAAGTGCGAGTCAACTGAAGAAAGACGCCAAAAGACTGGAGAAGTTGGAGAAATTTAAGAAAAAGAAAGAAGCGCAAGAAACTGAGAAGAAGAACCAGGGAGAGGTTCGTCAAAATTAACATTCTCAATTCACCTTCAATATGTGTATATAAAATATAAATGTAAACAATATTTGCAAGCATTGCTTTTCAGGTTTTAGTAGCAGCTAGGGGTTTAAATTAACCCTTTTGGGTGGCAATGTGCTGTGTTGGGGAGGATGTGCTCATTGAGCCTTGGTGATGGTTCAGGGTGTGACTGTTGATCAAGTGCGTAGTTACTATAGAGTGAGCTACACACAGCAGTGTTCTGGGGGACTGGAAGGTCCAAGTGCTTGGAAAGTGGTAAGGGTGGTAGGATATTCTCTTTCCAGATAAAAATGGATATGATCAGGAAATTAGTACCCCCTTGTACCTCTCCCCCCTTTACCAAGGTCAGAAGGGGTACACCCCCCAGTAAATCCATGCCCAGTTGACAGTATAGATTTGTCTCCTGCACATTGTAGAAAAAGAAAGAGAAAAAGAACAAGGATGACACGAAGAAGATTATTTCTTACGATAAAGACACTGCACCTGGAGAGAAGAAAGGTAGGACTAGTCCCTGGCATCAATTGAAATGTCATTCTTACCAAATTAGTTATTAACTATCTGAGTGTAATAATATTCTAGATGTATTGGGCAGCATGCCAGATAGTTACAGTCCCAAATTTGTTGAAGCAGCTTGGTATCCATGGTGGGAAAAACAGGTAGCAGATTGATTTAAGGGAATTTTATATCAAACAAAATTTGAAACTTATTTGACAAAATTGTTTACTCTTTTTCACAGGGATTTTTCAAGCCAGAATATAATGTAAGTATAACATATTTTCACAGCGTTTACCAGTAAAAATGTGCATGTCGGGTGTCTCAAGGTTGACATGGGGAAGGCATTAATTTACAGACTGTCAATTTTATTGTAGCGAGATTTAAGCCAACCAAATCCCAAAGGAAATTTTACAATTGTAATCCCTCCTCCAAATGTGACTGGATCTCTTCATGTTGGCCATGCTTTGACAAGTGCTGTTGAAGACTGTTTAACTAGATGGTAAGTTGTTAGGGAGGGTTTGTGTTTGAAACATCTGACAGAAACACTTGTATGAAGATGTTTCAAATTGTTTCAACATCCTAGGCATCGTCAGCAAGGTAAAACAGCCCTCTGGGTACCTGGGTGTGACCACGCTGGCATTGCAACACAGGTTGTGGTGGAGAAAAAGTTAAAACGAGAAAGGAATCTTACCAGACATGACTTAGGACGTGAAAATTTTGTCAATGAGATTTGGAAATGGAAAAATGAGTAAGTCGTTACGGATATTTATCTTAAGATACTTGTTGAGTAACTTGATTGAATAATTTGTCATTGTTTTAGAAATTATTGATGCATATAATTTGTTCTTTATTTAGCAAAGGTCATAAAATCTATGATCAACAAAAGCGTATGGGTGTTTCCACAGACTGGGACAGAGAGAGTTTTACAATGAGTGAGGTATTGTACTTCCTTACCCTCCTCAGTAGAAGCTTTGCAAATAGTCAGCAGAAACCTCAATGTAAAGGAGAAGAAGTAGATAGGAGCTCATCCATTTCATGACATAAACTTTAATAAAATTTAGAGGTCATCATTCACTTCAGTTTTATATAGAGATCATTGTTCACTTCATCACTTCAGTTTTATATAGAGATCATCATTGACTTCATCACTTCAGTTTTATATAGAGATCACCATTGACTTCATCATTTCAGTTTTATATAGAGATCATCATTGACTTCATCACTTCAGTTTTATATAGAGATCATCATTGACTTTATCACTTCAGTTTTATATAGAGATCATTGTTCACTTCATCACTTCAGTTTTACATAGAGATCATCATTGACTTCATCACTTCAGTTTTATATAGAGATCATCATTCACTTCACTTCAGCTTTGTATAGAGATCATCATTCACTTAATCACTTCAGTTTTCTATAGAGTTCATCGTTCATTGATCATAGTTCTAAATATCTTACGTAATTGGGAAAAAAATAGAAAGTTTTGAAAAGTATACAGTCAGCTTATTTAAGTTATTTTGTAGAAACTGTCTCGAGCTGTTGTTGAAGCGTTTGTACGACTGCATGATGAAGGTTTGATCTATCGCAGCAAGAGATTGGTGAACTGGTCATGTACTTTAAACTCGGCTATTTCTGACATAGAGGTATTAAAGTCAATGTTTAACCCATTAAAGTTGCATTCTACCCTATTATATCGTTCTACCCTGTCTAATGCCAGATGATTTGACTTGTCAAATCAAGTACTCAATTTATTTATGAATGGTGGTATGTTTATTTATCAAGGTCGACAAGAAAGAAGTGAATGGACGAACCTTACTTCCTGTGCCTGGTTACGAAGAGAAAGTCGAGTTCGGCGTTCTCGTTCATTTTGCTTATCCACTCGAAGATAGTGAGGAAAAATTGATTGTTGCCACAACTAGAATTGAAACTATGTTGGGTGACACTGCTATCGCTGTTCATCCCAATGATCCCAAGTATAAGGTGAGTTTTGCGTAAACTAAGGTTAGTGTTCACAGATTGAATGCAGTGATTGATTGGGTGACATGGCCACATGGGTATGTTGTTCATACAAATCCACACATTCTATCAATGAAAATCAATGATATTATATGTGTAATCTCTTTATCTTAGCATTTTCATGGCAAAGTTGCTCTGCATCCATTTTGTGATCGAAAACTTCAGATTGTGTGTGATGACAGTGTCGATCCTGAATTTGGCACAGGTAACGTGCTAGAACAGCTAGAAATAATACAAGGTTGATGAGAGTAAAACGCCAGTGCTTAAGTGGAGGATTTTAGTAAAAGCCAGGGGCTGGTTGTTCCAAGCTGGATTAGCGCTAACCCTGGGTTAAAATTTAACCTGCTGTTTTAGTTCATGTATTTCTGCACGTCTTGTTTCAAAACTTCAGAGAAAGAAACTCCTATACTGATCCAAACCAGATCTCTAAAGAAATATTTTCAAATTTATAAACAATTAAGCCATTGAGAAGTTTGCTTTGAATTTTAGGTTATCTGGGGTTTAAGTTAACCCAGCTTTGAACAACTGACCCCAGGTTCTCAATGTCGGACGGAATGGGAAAAGCATCAAGCAGATGTAAATTATAACGATGAAAAGAATGTCTAAGTTTCCTTCACGCGTATATGCCTCGCTCATATCCCAATTGGAAAACGTGGAAGGCTAACGCTTGATAAGTTTAAAAAATTTTAAAGGTGCTGTAAAGATCACTCCTGCGCATGACCATAATGATTACGAGATTGGTTCAAGACATAACTTGAGATTTGTTTCCATGATGGATGATGATGGAAACATTTGTGATGTCGGTGATTTCCTGCCTGAATTTAGTAAACGCTATATTGTAAGTATACGAAGACCTTTATCAAACCTTTTTGCTTTAGACCATTCGCTTTCATATTATTCTTATGACTCTATTTGATATGCAAAGTGTGTTATGTATAATTAACTTTGTAGTGTAATCTTCATAAACGATTTTACCGTGCGTAAATAAAGTGAAAATAAATTAAATACACTTGATTGATTGGTGTATACTATGTATATAGGGTTTAAAGCGTTTCCTAGCTCGTAAGACTGTTCTGGAAGATTTAAAAGAGAAAGGGTTGTACATTAAAACTGACGAGAATCCCATGGTGATCCCCGTGTGTAGGTAAGAGGTTCACCAGTCTTCACTTTTCTTAATGCCCTGGTTTCACCACGTAAACTTTCATCACGTGAACAACCGCAGCAATATGTAGTTTGATGACATTATGGTCTAATGATCTGATGTGACATTATGATGTTATTTTAGTCGATCAAAAGATATTGTTGAACCTCTGATTAAACCTCAGTGGTATGTCAACTGTCAAGACATGGCTGCCGATGCTGTCAAGGTTTGTGAATGAAAGAAATATTCTTCTTTTATCCAACCCCTATCCCAGCGTGACCCGATCGAACTCTTGATGGAAGAAGCTATTTCGCTGGCCTCAGATTGACAAAACGTAACCAAGCGATGGTTTTACTAACTCTAACCCTATTCCAAACACCAACTCTAACCCTACTCCAAGTTTGTTTCTAAACCAATTTTGAAGAAAAAAGTTTTGACGAAATGTCATTCTGAGGTCAGCGAAATAACTTCTTCCACTCTTGACGTGCGTTGTTTTCTATCTCTTGTGATGTCAGTTCCTTCATATTTAAATATTTTTTACACAATCTATCTTGTTCACTTTTCAAACGAAATGATGACTTTCCTTCCAGATGGTACGAGAAGGAGAATTAAAAATAATTCCGTCCACGCATGAAAAAACGTGGTACAAATGGATGGAAAACTGTAGGTAGGCATTGACATATAATTTATACAGATCTTAAAACAATGAGTAACTGGATGACATGGAGAACAGTGGGATTTTCAAAACAATGAAAAGACAGTGGAACATTCCGATCACTGGAACGTGACTGGATGATATGGACAATAGTGGGATTTTCAAAACAATGAAAAGACAATGGAACATTCTGATCACTGGAACGTGACTGGATGACATGGAGAATAGTGGGATTTACAAAACAATGAAAAGACAATGGAACATTCTGATCACTGGATCATGACTGGATGACATGGAGAATAGTGGGATTTACAAAACAATGAAAAGACAATGGAACATTCTGATCACTGGAATGTGACTGGATGACAGATAACTATATACTGTAAGTTGATGGAGTCAAATGATATTTTTTCAATCTTGTCTTTAGAGATTGGTGTATTTCACGTCAACTGTGGTGGGGGCATCGTATTCCTGCATATTACGTCATTGTTGAAGGCGCGCAAGTGCCTCTGGACTCGGTATGAATATAACGTAGCTGAATTTTGATAATTACCGTTCTAGTAGTATATTAAAGAAAATCCTTATCTTGTGTTGCAGGATTTGAACGATAAATATTGGGTCAGGTAAGAGCGCATGCAGAGACGCAGAAAACATTTATTTATTATTGAAAATTTTGTAATCAAGGCTACAAGTACAATGGTCTTTTAACTTTGATTATTTAGCGGATCAAATGAAGAGAAAGCAAAAGAGAAAGCTGCTCAACGTTTTGGAGTTTCTAAAGACAAGATCTCGCTACGACAAGACGAAGATGTGTTAGACACATGGTTCTCTTCTGCTTTGTTTCCCTTCTCTGTCTTTGGCTGGCCTGATGACGTATGTGTTGAGACACTTGCTAATGTTAATGCCAATTGACCATTTGCGTAATAGACTAAATTTTGAACTAAACAAGTCTAGAAAAAATTTCATCACAGCTTGAAGGAGCATCACAAAATTAGTAGGGTTTGGGGCTGTCAATTTCCCGTTTGTAATCTAAAATGACTGAAAATTGCAAATTTCGCAAGGCTATATTTTCCGCAATTTACAACATTTTGTAACGAAACTTTGGAATATTACTAATTTTGTGATGCTCTTTCAAGCTGTAATGAAATTTTTGTTGAGATCAAAATTTAGTCTATTACGCAAATGGTCAATTACATACTGTATCCTATAGTTTGTGACTGAATGACCTTAACAAGATTAAAAACACTTCAACATGTTGACGTTGGGTGGTAGCCAACATTTAAACTCAGGAGGATTGTTGGCCGAGGATTGTTGGGCCAACAATCCTCCTGAGTTTTTGCTGTATTTTTTAACTTATCTTGCTTTTGTTTCTGACTCCAGACTGATGACATGAAATCGTTCTACCCAACATCATTGCTGGAGACTGGTCACGATATTCTCTTCTTCTGGGTCGCCAGAATGGTCATGATGGGACGGAAGTTACTTGGAAAGTTGCCTTTCACTGAGGTAGAAAACGCATGTCGAGAATAGCCCATGGTTTCTCTTTGGTTTACCAGATTGAAACGGTAAAAGTTCTCTAACAAAGTGGATGATAGGTCTATCAATAATTAACTCCTAGAAGCAGGGCTTGAACTAACAACCGATCAATGATCGGCAAGAAATTGCTTATGATCGGCGGAAAAGCAGGATTTCCAACCTGAAAAAGCAGGGAAAGTCATGACTGCCATCATCATTGATCGGGAACTTTGGGAACGTTATTTCAAGCCCTGGTAAAGGACATTGTTTATGGTTCTACTGCTACAGGAGAAAACCAAAGTGCTCGGAAACCTGTCGTGTTTGTTCGAGTCAAAACTGGAACTTCTCACATTGAAGTGAAGTTATGATGAGATTACTGCAGGAATGAAATCAAGGTCACGGAGGCGAAGGACCGTGAATTAACATGTTGTCTCTGCTTCAGGTGTTTCTTCACGCTATGGTGCGAGATGCGCACGGACGCAAAATGAGTAAATCACTTGGCAATGTCATCGATCCTGTTGATATTATTGAAGGAATCACATTAGAGGTTGGTGTACGTTGACATATTGAAGAAGTTCAGATTTCACTGGCTTAGCACCCATCTGATTGGTTAAAGAAGCCTATCAAACCCATCTGATTGGTTAATGAAATGTGTCAAACGCATCTGATTGGTTAATTGAAACATATCAAACGCATCTGATTGGTTAAACATATCAAACGCATCTGATTGGCTAAGTACTATTTACAACCTGAGCGGCCGTGTTGTATCGGATATACAAACTCGAGCCGAAAAATGGCTTAAAAAGCGACTCATCTTATGAGTTCACTGGCGAAGTAATTTTAATAATAAACGTTGTCTAAGCCGAGAAAATCAAAGTTAAAGTTTATGTAAATCAACATGAATCTGTATCACATATACAGATACGACACGCTTATGATTTTTCTTTGTGTTTTCTTCATGAATTATTAATGAGTTTTTTAATGAAACATATCAAACTATCTGATTGGTTAATGTTTCCTCAATGGTTCTTTAACCAATCAGACACGTTTGATATATGCGATTTACCAATCAGATGTAAAGGTAAGGTAAGTCAAAACTGAACCTCTCTATTGTCTCACACACTAGTAATTCATGGGTTTTTTGCATGGGCGTACGGGAAGGAAAAAATTAGGGGGGGGGGGCGGAAAGAAATTTGCCCGACATTTTCGGATTGTGCCCGAGTTATCAAAAAAAAATTTCCGGAGAAACTTTCCAAACGAAAAATTCCTATTAGATAGCATATTTCCCACAAAATTGACAGAATTTCCCACAAAATTGACAGAATTTGTCCCATTTATTTTTATAATAAGCCAATATTGCCCGACTGGCTTTGTTTGCCCAACAAACTGTGGGGGCTACCGCCCCCTCCCGCCCGGTACGCCCATGGTTTTTTCTTCTGTCAACCACAAGATATTCTCCTCCTGTAGAACTTGCATAAGACACTCTACACTGGAAATCTTGACGCTAAGGAAATTACAACGGCTATGAAAGGACAGAAACAAGATTATCCCAAGGGCATTCCTGAGTGTGGTACTGATGCATTGAGATTTGCTCTTTGCGCCTACACTGCCCAAGGTACGACGATGCTTATGACTGCATCTGAAGAAATCCCGTAATACACGTCGTTTTCTGATTTTAATTTCATCTCTTTTGCACAGGTCGAGACATCAATCTGGACGTGTTGCGTGTTCAAGGATATAGACATTTCTGTAACAAACTTTGGAACGCCACAAAGTTTGCTTTGAATGCCCTCGGGACAAACTTTAAACCTGACCAAGAACCCAAGGTGAGACCATTCAGTATTCTCAGGATCTCACTTTTTCCTCGTCTGTTCTCCCCTGCACCAACACTGGATCAATATGAAACTAACGCAAGTACCCTTTCTCGACTTATGCCCAGGAAACAGTTTCAGCAGTTAGAACTGTTAGAGCTATCTAGAAGTTACATGTACAGTCACAGAATAAAGACACACAGAAGGTCGACTCAGCAAAAAAAGCGTAATAAGTTCTTTGTATGTTTGCATGGTGATAAAATATAATAGTTTTGTTTGTGGAAACACCACGTAAATTTATTACTGCAAAAAAAGCGTAACCCACGCCATGATTCGTCATCAAAATGCTGACGCTATGGTCACAGATTAAGAGTCCTCTTAATCTGTGCCATGGTCCAGCCAGTGCGCTTATGAGAGGCCTCCCCCCCCCCCTAGACTTCCGCCATCTTAAATATTATCAGGAGGGTGAATGCCTCTCATAACTAGGACCATGACGTCAGCATTTTGATGACGAATTACGGTTACGCCAAAATCATAGGAAAAAGTAAGAAGTTGGGCTTCTGTCTAGTCTTTATTCTGTGTTATAATTCTTAAGATATTACTACATTTCCTTCAAGTTATGTGGCAATGAGAGTCTTGTGGACCTTTGGATCTTAAGTCGTTTATCAACGGCAGAAGCGACATCAAACACTGGCTTTAAAGAATACGACTTTCCTGCTAGTACTACAGCTATATATAACTTTTGGTTGTATGAACTCTGTGATGTATATTTGGTATGTATTGCTAGTACTACAGCTATATATAACTTTTGGTTGTATGAACTCTGTGATGTATATTTGGTATGTATTGCTAGTACTACAGCTATATATAACTTTTGGTTGTATGAACTGTGTGATGTATATTTGGTATGTATTGCTAGTACTACAGCTATATATAACTTTTGGTTGTATGAACTCTGTGATGTATATTTGGTATGTATTGCTAGTACTACAGCTATATATAACTTTTGGTTGTATGAACTCTGTGATGTATATTTGGTATGTATTGTTAGTACTACAGCTATATATAAGTTTTGGTTGTATGAACTGTGTGATGTATATTTGGTATGTATTGCTAGTACTACAGCTATATATAACTTTTGGTTGTATGAACTCTGTGATGTATATTTGGTATGTATTGTTAGTACTACAGCTATATATAACTTTTGGTTGTATGAACTCTGTGATGTATATTTGGTATGTATTGCTAGTACTACAGCTATATATAACTTTTGGTTGTATGAACTGTGTGATGTATATTTGGTATGTATTGTTAGGTTTGTTTACACTTTCAACTTTTGCTGCGATTTCTTGTTCTGGTTGATGTGAATGAGTGGATGAGTGACGAATGTTCTGATAAGGGTTCATGCACTCAGAACATTCATACCTCATCTACTCGTTCACATCAATCAGAAGAGGGAAATACCACTAGAAATCACAGGGAAAATTGCAAGTGTGAAAGTGTCTTAATACCGGGCTGCAGATGGTGGGCAAGTTCGTAAATGTTGACACTCGCATGGCTACATCTCTCAATTCTATTTATTTGCCATCAAATACAAGACTACTACATATAATGAAAAGAATGAACATGATTTTCTCACTCTGATAACTGCAGGTTTACCACCATTGCTGCACGATACTGCTTAGTGAAACCACCTATTGTACACCACCTTTTCTCTTACTCCACTTAAGTGAACTGATATGTTCTCATTTCAATTTTGATATTTCAGGAATATTTGAAACCAGTTCTTCAAAGCAATAATGAGGAAGAGATAAATACAGCGAGGAATGTTTTGTATACATGTTTAGAACAAGGTTTAATACTTCTCAGTCCATACATGCCTTTTGTTACCGAGGAATTATTTCAAAGATTGCCGAGACGTCCAGCTGATCAGCCTCCGAGCATTTGTGTTACACCCTACCCTAATGATGTGAGTGTTTTGATTTCACATTATGTTTGATGATGAATGAAACTATTTTTATAGCGTAATCCAATCAGTTCACGTGAAAAAAAAACTGTTATCAATAGGAGCCCTATGTCTTCCTCTCTGTGATCATGTCTCAATATTTTTGATATGTTATCCATTAAGCTGCAATCCCCAAATGCGCCTGACTTTTACTCTGTCTCATGCCAGACGATTTTACTCGTCAAGAGGAGAGTTTTGCCCATTGGTGGGTTAATGTAGATAGTTAATGTTGTAATCAAGTTATGTCAATGCTGTGACAGTGTTGAAAGAATGGCGCTACCATGGTGTGATCATGATGTTGCAACTATATGTTGTGTCGTTCTGTCAATTGAGAGGTTCAGATTTGACTTCCACTACCGCTGCCATTAAGGGACCATTAACCAATCAGATGCGTTTGATATATTAGATTAACCAATCAGATGCGTTTGATATATCCGATTAACCAATCAGATGCGTGCTAAGCCACTGAGAGGTAGCGAAAGTCAAATCTGGCCCTTTCCATTAGAAAGTGAAAAGCAACAACAGCGTAATAACAGTGGCATAACAATCTTGTAACAGTGTTGTAACAATAATTAGAACAGCATGTAACACTAATGTTTGTGATGTTACTCTGAGTGTAACATCACAAACATTATATTCACCTGAGTACACAACACCAACACAGAAAAAAAAAACATGTAACAGTATTCTAACAATGATATATGTTTATTATGTCAGCTTCCTTGGCGGGATGAAAGACTTGAAGAGAAGATAGATCTTTCTATGGGCATTGTAAGAACGATCAGATCAATCCGACAAGAATACATGCTGAACAAAACGAAAGCTGATGGTAAGTGCTTGACAAATAGTTTTACATTAATGAAAATAGCAACAATTAACAATAACTCTATGTCTGTTTAGTTTACTTGAACTTTACTAACACGAAGGATTCTGACCTCATCAAGCCACTGTCCAGCTTTATTGCGACACTCAGTTCATCAAGCAAGTAAGTTTTGTTGTTGAATAGTGAGTGACATTATTTCTAAGAAATGATTGATGTTGTGAAATATTTCTAGTATTCATTTCTTGGAAAACGAGAGTCCTCCCACTGGATGTGCCCTAGGGACGTATTTGGACAAATGTGAGATTAATGTCATGCTCAAGGTTTGTTGCGAAATTGAATGAATTGTTAGTATCACATTGGGTAGTACCTTTCATCTCAGCTGATTCATGTATGTTTTCCAGGGCTTGATTGATCTAAATAAAGAAATTACAAAATTAGAAAGCAAGGAGAAACGTCTTAATGCTCAACTTGAGAAACTGCTTGGTTCTATGAAAGTTCCCGACTATGAAACAAAGGTACATAGAAGCCAACTGTGGCTTATTTTAACTCGAACTCACCAACCATATGGTTAATTCTAACTTGGAGTTTTATTTAACATGCACTTGGCATAAGTCAGTTTAATGAGTGACTGAATGGAATGGAGAACAGCAGTGGCGTAGCGCTCATTGGGTGGGGTTAGTTAAAAAACTAAGGGCCACCGACAGTTAGGGGCCCCTATCACCCACGACCTATCAGCCCAGAAAATTAGAAAACGCGGAAAAAATGCAGGTTAAGAATCAATGGGAAAATGGAAAATTAATGATGCTAAATAATAAAGCCTCCATCGACAACGATAGCTTACGTTTTTTATTCCATCTCAAATAAAACATATCTGGGCTATCCACATTCTTTGTCGGACTCACTTCCCATTGTTTTATGACCCACACCCATGGGTTGCAGGTGAATCACAGTATAAACATAACATCTCAGTCAACAATGACGACAGTCAACGGGGGCCCCCACACCAAATATGCCTAAGGGCCCCCTCTTTCTCTGTTACGCCACTGGAGAACAGTGGGATTTTCAAAACAGTGAAAGACAGTGGAACATTCTGAACAGTGGGATTTTTAAAACAATGAAAAGACAATGGAACATTCCGATCACTGAATCGTGACTGGATTGTTCTGCTTTGTGTTTTAACAAAGGCTGAAGGCTCGTTTATATCTGATCCATATTTAACTATTTTGTGTCTAGATCCCTGAAAATGTGAGAAAACAGAATGCGGAGAAGGTGAATATTCACTTAACACAATTAAGATTGGAAAATGTTTTGTATTTACTTATTTTTTTTCTGTTTTTGAAGGTGACTCAAGTGGAGACAGAATTAGAAAATATCAAGAAAGCTTTAAATAACTTAAAATTATCTTGAAGATATAAATTTATTTCCATGAAGAATATAATAGACTTGTATGATTGTACAACAAAATAAGTATTTTTAAAAAATCTCCTGGTGTGAAAAAATTAATCCCGAACTGAAACGAATTTCCAGACAATTTAGAATAACAACACTATATTGCATGTAACATGACGTATACTGCGGTGGCGGCAAATTTGTAACAGTGGGTAATATTTATATATTAATTTAAAGCGCTTGAAATCTTAAAATAAAACAGTTTAACGCTTTAAATATACTTCAGAAATGAGTTCTTTCAGTAATTCGTTATTCTCTGCACCAGAGTTGTGCTTGGTGAAGTTTTATTTAAAACAAGCAGTTGAAAAAAGCAGTTTTAAATGTTTAAAAGACATTGAGGAAAGTGAAAGTGAAAAGCTTGTTGTTGAGTTTGTAGTTCCAGCAGTTCAACAAAGCATTCAAGACTGTTCAAGTGTCGGACATTGGAGATATGAAAAGGATTATGTTTTGTTGAAAATTCATGGATGGTTCTTCATGTCATGGATGACTAAGAGATTTGATATGACAGATGAAATATTTCCTCGCATTGCCACTGTGTTTTATCTGGACGTCTTGAGAATGTGTCAGTTTGAAAAATACTTGACGCAGGTATTATATTTTTGTATATTTCAGTATATGTTTAATGTTGCAGTGTGCCCCCCCCCCCCATAGCAATATTACTTTCTAAGAATTTTAATCAGGTGTGGGGGGGGGGGACAATCAGGGTCGCCAAATATTATGATAATAACCTTTTGCTTTCTTTGTTGGAAACAAAGAGATCAAAGGGCTGCTGATAACAATGTTTGGCTTATATATTCAGGCAACCCTGGCAGGGGTGGCGGAACAGGGGGGGCTAAAGCCCCCCCAGAAATAAAAGTTTTGATATAAGTCCGAAAAAATTTTTTTTGTCCCTTTTTTTGTATATTTTACCCCTAAAGTGGTACATTGACCCAAAATTTTTTGGCGACTTGCGCCGAAAAAATTTAGCCCCCCCAGAATGAAATCTGTTCCGCCGCCGCTGAACCCTGGACATAATAGAAAATTCAATCCCAATGAACAAACAATAGTATATAAGTTGGCTCATTCCATTTAATATCCACCCGCCCTCCCTATGGATAACATTGTAACCCCTAAGAAAAAAAGATATAAGTGCCAACACAAAACCCCCCCAAAAATTTTTAATTTTCTCCTTACCCCTCGGACAAATCACAGAGATCAAAGGATGCCGACAGGCTTAACTCAAATGACTTTGGGGTCACCTTTCAGAAAACTTTGTCCTTGGGGGTGGGGGGGGGGGGTGAAATTCAGATAACATACTGCATACATGCATTAATCACTGCGCCACCATAACCAAGCTTTCATATACCGCCATCACATCACCAATTAAAAATGTTTTTTTTGTATTTTGCAGTGCTTGTCGAATGTGAGTGAAGCAATTACAGAAGTATTACTACAAGATATTGCAAGCAACGCTTGTGATGACAAATCAAGCTTACTGTTGCAACTTGTTGAACAATGTCTGTTGCAGCTTGGTTGTTCTGAAGAAAACATTGGGAAAATTTTGGATACTAAACTTTGTCATATCTTAACACAACTGGCCAAGAATGTTGAACAGCAATGGGTGAAAGTTGATATGTTGTCAAAACTAAGTGACAAATTGAATACACTCCTTGCAAAATTAAAGAAAGGTCCAAGAAATAACTTTGGAAATGTTTTTACAGAGAAAATGAACATTATTGAGTTTAATGAAAAGCTATCAGACTTTATGAGTAAGGTTGAAGAACAGAAGATGACAATGAAACCTGCACTAAACAATCCTGCAGCCAAGGTCATGGACAGTTCCCAAGAACTTGTTAAAACTATCTTATGTCTAGTTTCCTGCATCAACCATATCATAACAATTGAGTTGAAATCACTCTTTACTTGGCAGTTGACTGATCTTGGCAATGAAGTTATTGAAGAGGTCAAGGATACAAACTGTCATGATGTGTTGTTTAGTTTATTCACAGCTTGCAAATCTTTACAAACGTGGGTGGTGGACAAGGATTTACCATCATATAATGAACTCCAAGTTGTGACTGATGTGCTGGAGCCATACTTGCAACAACATGCAACACCCGAGGAAATGTCCTGTACTAAAGACACCTCAAGTGGCCAAAATGTTGGAAATGAAAGCATTGATATTGTTGGCGAAATTGGTAAGATATGTTTCTACTTCATACAAAAGTATATCTGCACAAATGTTCTGTTCTTTTTTGCCTCATGCCCATTGACCACACCCTTTTTAGTATAGACCACACCTTTTGCCACACCCTTTTTCTGCCTCCTCTGCAGGCTTTTGTTTTTGGCACATACCAGTAACATATAGAGATCAGTAAAAAGATCACTTGTGATGCATGTTGGGAAGGCAAATTTGTCATCAACTATGCCCTTTGCTACCACACCATATTTTGTCATAGACCACACCCTTTGTTCCCAATCACCATGCCTGCAGTATTCTGAGAAAACCTGCAATGTTTGGCATCAAACTAGAAACACCTTTCACACATGAGATGAAATTACAATAAATTAGACAAGTGCATATATAGTGAAGGAATGAAACCCCAGTCACAGCTAATGGTGATAGATGCTAACCACTATGTAACCAAGACACGTTATTGGGAGCATAGCAATGTTTTATCTTTAGGTATGATCATAAATGGCACACTAGAAGAAGAATTACAACATGCTTTATATCAAATTGATGAGAACCTACTGGGTGATGAAACATGTTTTGAATGGTGGCTGCTCAAGGAAGAACTCTACATAGATGAACGATGGTTAAAATGTGTAGAAACTCATGCCAAGAAGTTTGTTTCAATCAAAATATTGAAAATGTTGTTGGATGTCTTGTCTGTGTTTCAAGAATTTGACATCAAGCCAGGAGGTGTTCACGCCAGTATTTATAATTCTTTGAAGAAGGTGCGTCCATTTTCATATGAGTCACAGTTGAAATAATAATCCTTGCAATCTTAACTCAATCCTGTCATGGTATTTTGTGTTTAGGTAATTCTGGATCTACTACGCAATCTAACTCTTCCTGAACAAAAAGAAATAGTTCTTTATAACTTCGACTTAATTTGTCTTCATTTTGACTCCTACGAATATACATTCTTCCTTCATCCCGATGATGAAGCAAGCGAGAGTTTGCTTGAAGACATTCTTACTGGAAGCATGAACAAACTCGTGAATAGATCAAGCAAAGGTTTTAGTAAAGATGTAATGGACGGCATTATTCAAGCGTGTTTAGTGTCACCGTATCTTGCGTTGAAAAAATTATGGACTGATGCGTCAAAACATGGTGGTTATGAGAAAGTTATATGTGAGGTAAAGTCAAAGTTTCTACAACAAGCTGTTGTCAGTGGTTTGTGTGAACTAAGTGAAAAAGGTATCTCAAGCGTGGAGGTACAGTGCAGGTAGTATTTTACAATAAGGTAAAGCTGTCGTGGTTTGTGTCTGAACTACCTAAAAAATATATCTCAAACGTAGTGGTCCAGTGTACTGAGTGTAGGTAGTATTCTACAATAAGCTGCCGTGATTTGTAATTGTGTCAGAACCAACTCAAAACGTTTAACACTTTTAACACTTTTAACGCAATAACGGTTCTAACGAAGGGCCTTTGCTAAGAACGTCAACGTGTTTTTACAAACCACAACCAGTGGCGTGCTGGGTACTATTTTTCTGGAGGGGCCAGTGGGCTGTCAACCAATATGCGCCCCTATAATGTTACACTTGATAAACGAGGGCCGAAGGCACGAGCCGAGTGCCGCAGGTGCGAGGTTTGTCTAGGGGGGTCCGGGGGCATGCCCCCCAGGAAAATTTTTGAATTTAGAGTCTCTGAAATGCCATTTCCTGGACTTTGGGGGAAGATTTGGCAGAAATCTGATGGTCAGGAAACGGCATTATAACGTCGAAATTTGCAATTTGATTAGAATTTAGTAGTAGTACTTAAATTATGCAATGATAACTACTTCCAGCGATTAATTTAATCCCAATTCTGTTCTCTACTGATCTACTGTTCTGAGCACATTTACAACTTAAAGCTCTTTTATACAATAACACACGCACCCCACGCATATGCATTTCAAGGTTTCCTTGCCTGGCTGCCAAAAGGGCATGTTTCAGCATTATTTCATTACCTACATTACTCATGCTTCTTGTGCAAACAACTAAATTGCGTACACAACTTTACATCAGTTATCATAACTTCAACTATCTAATTTGCGCCGCCCTCGTGATTCGTGAAGCATATTATAAGGGCATAATACCAGCAAAAAAGGGCATAATTCCCTGATCGCTTCGATCGAAACCTGACCAATATTCCGGTAATGAGACATTGCCTGTGATCACTGATAATGTTTCTATATGAACGATTTCGTGTGAGCTGCGAGGTAGCAAATACGGTTAGGCAAAATAGTCTGTAATTTAATATATGTCGCCTATGCGCTTAGTCTGTTTTATACCGTAGCCTATAAACACGTCTTTTCTTGGCGGAAGTAACCATATTTTTTCGAGAATGTGTTTTTTCCCACCCACTTTCAAAATTCGGCGCCCCATTTTCATTTTTGCGCCCCCCAAGAATTGCCAGCTGGGGGGGCCGTGGCCCCCCGGCCCCCCCTGCCAGCACGCCACTGAGGTCCACAACAACAACATAAGGTAAATCCATTGTTTCCAGTTGCTACAGATGATCCCATGGTTAGTTTGGCTTGGTCGTGAAAATGATGAGAGTCTCATTATTCAAGTTGTTAAACATGAAGTCATGTCTTCACACGTTTTCAGCAAGAAACAAGAAGGACAATTTTTAAAGTTGATTGAAGCGTTGATGCAGGTATTGTTCTGAGTTAAGGCTTAAGCTCTTATTATTGTTTCTAATTAAAGCTGTTCTTCCTAGAGGTGGAGGAAACAGGCCTATCATTTCTGAACATAGTTGATAGATTATTTAGATGTTGGATATTCTTGGACAGTGCCTGAAATTAGTTTCAAGCCATAATTTTTCTAAATTTCAGCCTTATGTGCATCCAGACTTTGGGACAAAAGAGCCAGCGTTAGTAGCAGCAATTGACGTATCTAAATATGTGATCATGCCATTATTAACAGATGAAGATGACGTCATTTCTCCTTCATTACTGCTACATATCTTGCTGAAATGTCTCACCTGTGGACTGATCTCAACAGACCACTGTAGTGTTGATCAAGAGCATCTACTTCAATTGCTGTTTGTTGTACTGGAAATATATTCAGAAATCGAGCAGTTCTGGGTAGACTGGGTAGGAAATGAAAGGTTTGTTGATTTTATCACCATACTGTTGCGGATAGTTGCTTAATGTATTGATCAAGAATGATCCAGCGTTACTACAGGAGGAATTCCGATAAACCCAGCGGTGTTTGATAGAGTGCAACTGGAGACACTCTTTTGAGTTCTGTCATGCGAAATTATAATGAGGCGACCTACATATTACAGGAATAGGCTCTTGGTAGCCGCTCTAAAAACATTCATGATATATATTGTTTCTAGTCTTGATGGTGTACAAGACTCGACAGACTTTGATGACGTCACGCTGGTCGATGTCTGGCATCAAATGGACGTTACATTAAAAATTGTTGAAGAATATTTAGTCCCTTTCCTAACGGAAGACATTTCACGTGAAGCTGACGGATATCATGACTATATCACGATTGTGCAAGACCATTTAAACAAGTTAGGTAAGAGTGGGCAGTGTAGGTAGTATTCTTCAATAAACTGCCGTGGTTTGTGTCTGAACTACCTGAAATTTTGTTTTTCTTTCATTTAGATTGGTTTGCGTCATTGTTGATAATTCCATTGTTACAAAGCGATGTCTTCAAGGAGTGCGCGATTAAATCACCCAGCTCACTCACCAGTTTAATGTCCAGCCATTTCAATGTGCAGTCAATACAAGACATAGGTATGACGCCTTGATGGGATACCACGGTTTCCTTTGGGAACTTAGGACCATTATTAAAACTTGGCGCTTAACTAGACCTCTAGGGAGCTATCTCGTATAAATATAGTTCAAATATGTGTCTGTTATTACATAGAATCAACGACATCATTTTGGACGATGTATTTCAAAAGTTGCGCTCATTCCAACGAAGTGTTCGGGATATTTTTATCAAAGTTACAAGAAAGTCGTCCACGTCATGCTGGTTACAACGACACAGACGAAATAATCCATGATCTAGCCAATGTAAGGTTTCAAATATCTCTGCGTTGTTAGTTTTGTCCAGGTATTCTGGTTTCCTCCTGGTATCCTCCTGTAGTAACACTGGACCAACAAGGGATGGTGGAGCTCTAGGAAGAACAGTTTAGAAGTCATAGAGCTATAAATAAAGTTTGTTTAGTTCTGATCAAACATTCTTTTTCTCTTTATACGAAGCAGCTTCTTCCATTTACCACTCGGAAACAATGGCAGAGAATATTAAATATAGCTGTAGAAATGATGAAACGCGGATATCTGGTAGGTTTATAAACATCATATGCTCCACTGTAGCTTCAATAAGCATTACCACACCGCAGTTTGTGGGCAGAAATGTTGACACAGCTAGAAGCGAGAAGATTAAAGTATGAAATCCGTCAATTCTATTTACTGACCTCTGAAAATACCTGACTACTCCATATATTGAATAGAATAAACATTATTTTCTCCCTCTGATAACTGCAAATTGACCACCATGCATCTGCTGCACGATAGTGCTTAGGATAACCAAACTATATACTTGAATGTCGGATAAAAAATGTTTCCTAGATCTTAGCAGAAGAATGGAAAGCTGATCTGATGGTGCTTCCAGAAAACTTGGATGGCAACATGATAATCAAAACCTCCGAACTCTTGGTATTGATCTTGCGGGATATTTCAAATACAGAGTGGAGGACACCTGGTGTTTGGATTACTCTACTCAAGAACTACGTCTTGAATATGAAGCAACTGTCTTTGGAAATTGGCAACGAAGTAAGGGTTTTGTATTAACAATGGTTACAAACCAGAATCCTTTGCGATTTTGTACTAATGGTAACTATTTCTTATCCTTGCAATCCTAACCTTATTCTAACCTTATACCTAATCTTGGGTAATCTAAACTCTAACCTCAACCCCACTCCTAACCCTAAACTTAACCCCTAACCTAACCCTAAACTTAAACTTAACCCTAACTTCATTAACCCTGACCCTCACTCTTCTAACCTAATAAACCTAATTTTTACTCCACCAAACGTACTTATTTTAACCACAGATTCTAATTCTTTTCTAATTCTACTCAGAATTCTTATGTTGACCCTCGTTTCTGCCTATCGGTTACCTCAATCATGCCAAACCATATTTCCACTGTACAATTATATTATAACTCATTTATTCCCCCTCCAGGATAAATTTGAGGCAACCTGCCATCTGTCAGCACATCTTGCCTATGTCGCTTTCAAGATCGTTCCTGAAGACTTCCAAGAACATATCACCATTATATTACTGGATATTTTCAACCAATGTTTATCGTGTGTATCTGCTGAGAATATTGACAAGAGGTCAGACTATCTACAAGGTATTATAAACATGGTATCTCATAGTGACCTCAGACTCGCTATGACGAATACAATGGGGAAAATGTTATCAAAAGAACGTAAGTAAATAAATATGATGATGACATTTATTATGAAACTCTACAAAAACTCAATTTGGTTTGTTTAAATTCTCTATAAATAATTAAATATTAATTGCTACATACAAATCTAATTCTTTACAAAATATCACGCCCAGGTTTCTCTCTGGTATCGTTTCGTTCGTATTAATTGTTTGAAATAACCTTCAGCCTGTTCTTCTGTTAGTTTTCCTTCTCTCGTAAATATTTCTTGTAACACATCTGAAACATCTGACGGCATCTGTTTCGAGTTCCTATGAGAATTAATTTTAATACTTCAAGTGTTCGAAATTTGCTTCCTCTAATAATAAACTTAATGTGTGGAAATTTTATGAGAAATTCGTCAGGAGGATACTAACCCTCTAACAAACGACCTAGTTCAAAACGTCTGTGTCTTTTTAAATATTTTCAGTTTGTCGTCACACTTACCCAGCCAAGAAGCACCAGGCTCCTTGTCTCTCTATGAGATCCCAGACAAATGCGTTGTTTTCCTTTAAACGATGTTGTACATAAATTTTGTTTTCCTAAGTTAAGAACGAAAGAAAAATTGACTGTAAGGTGTTTTAAACTTGTTCGAGAATTTGTAGATATTTATACCTGATCACGTGAGAAAGCAGTGAAGAGAGTCAGGCGACCATCGTTCTGTAGAGGTAACCATTCTTGTTCAAAGAAATAATCTTTATGTCTGCTTCTTGAACCAAAGAATAAAACACATTCTCCACCTAGGAACGGTTGGGTTTCAGTTAGTGTTACATGCAGTAGATGCTGGTCAATGCAGGAGTATGTTTGAGAGCATCAATATGCACTATTTACAACACAGACTCGAATGTTGTAAATAGTACTTGTGAAAAGTCTTGATGAGAACACTCGTATTCTTCGACAATTTAAAATAAATGAATGATATTTGGTGAGAAAATTGAGCTTAAAGTTTATGTAAATCAGCATGATTTTGTATCAGATATACAAACTCCTTCACGCTCATGATTTCTTTTGTGTTTTCTTCATGAATTATTAATGAGTTTCACAAAAACAAACACATGTGTTCCTGCTTACCTTGATTACATTCACATGTTCTTTCTTCGATGAAACTCCGAAATGGAGCACATCCTGTACCTGATAAAAGAAGAGACAATCATTTATCTCGGGTTTTGCTGAATGTTAATATAATACCGGTATAAAACGGCAAGAGAAAAACCGCAAACACGCGAGCAATTTGAGGTAACTGATGTTTCTAACATTATATAGAAAGATCTCATCCTTACCAGGTCCAATCATAATAACTGGAGTCTCCAGTGTCTTTGGAAATGATATCGTGGCTTTCTTAATCCACACAGGTATTCTAACATTCTTCATTCTTTCATCCAATGATGCTAACCAGGTTGAACACACCCCAACTCTGGGTTTATAAAGATTTGTTTTATATTTTACAACTGCCATTAAAATCTGAACTTTGTTAGGATGCGCCTAGAAGTTGAAAACATGCATGGGTTAAAAGAAACGTTGTTGATAGATTCGCAGGAGGTCTTTTTCGTAGATTCAGAAGTTAAAGAATTTAGAATTTGAACAATGAACGTATAGTTCATCTTAGCAGAGTACACACGAAGTACACGTAAAAATCTCACAACTTGTCAACAAGATGTGTTCGCAACAGGCTTGTAGCAAGCTTCTCAACAAGTTGTAACAATGTTTGAATGTTGTTATTTTATCAAGTTGCTACAAGGTTGTCACTCACAACTTGTTAACGAATTGGTGAATTGCAGGACGATAACAAGTTGTTGGAACAACTTGTAGTCTGTCGAACTCAACAACCTTGTAGCAAGATGTAAACAAGCCGTTGACAACTTGTCAACAAGCTGGGAACAAGCAGTGCGAACACATCCTATTGACAAGCTGTTGGAACAGCATTGCTACAAGTCTGCTGCAGATTTGTTACAACTTGTGCGTTTTTACGTGTGTAAGACGAAGATCAGGCATGATCTGTGTGAGAACCATTGCTATAGATTGCGTTATTTTGGGTTACTTTGTGAGCATAGTTTGTCTTGCGTGTACACTATAATGATACGTCATGCAACACATGAATACCTTGATTGAGGAAGCGATAGAGAACGCTCTTGGTTTCAAAGGCGAAATCAAATCAAATAAATATTCTAACGTTATATTCTTGCTAGCGTGTGGAAAATCTTCCAAAACCTAAAACATGACGTAAAGCAGAACATTTAGTAACGTGCTGTCAACGCGGTGTTTTAGCGTGTTGAAGAACAAAACGTGTGAACGAGGTTTATTAACGTGTGAACGAGGTTTATTAACGTGTGAACGAAGGTTTATTAACGTGTGAACGAGGTTTATTAACGTGTGAACGAGGTTTATTAACGTGTGAACGAGGTTTATTAACGTGTGAACGAGGTTTATTAACGTGTGAACGAGGTTTATTAACGTGTGAACGAGGTTTATTAACACGTGAACGAGGTTTATTAACGTGTGAACGAGGTTTATTAACGTGTGAACGAGGTTTATTAACGTGTGAACGAGGTTTATTAACGTGTGAACGAGGTTTATTAACGTGTGAACGAGGTTTATTAACGTGTGATGCCTTACCTCGAGAGTTGTTCTTCTTGGTCGGTAACAATAGGAATATAATTCTTCCTGAAATATAACAAAAGTTTTGTAAAAATCTAAAAAATAATACCCTAATCTATACTTGATCATCTATCTGAGTGTAAACACAGGACAAAGTGCTAGCTAGGATCTTTACTGACAATTCGGGGGACAAATATCCTTGGAAGAGGTTATTTCGCTGGCCTCAGAGTGACAAAACGTAACAAAGTAACGGTTTTGCTGACACTAACCCTGTTCCAAACACCAACCTAACCCTACTCCAAGTTTGTTTCTAAACCAATCTTGAAGAAAAAAACGACATGTCATTCTGAGGTCAGCAAAATAACTTCTTCCGATATCCTTTCCCTGTTGTCTTGACATGCGCTCTGCTTCTAACTCGAATGATGACATGAGGCAGTGTGTACCTGCCCCTCAGCAGTATTGAATTCCTGTAGTTTTTCTTCTTCGAGCTCTGAGTCAGTGAGATGCGACAACAACTCAAAGAAATATCGTCTTGGTACACCTTGAATGTCCCAGTAGTTCTCAACCAAGTGTTTCACAGTGCATGGCTGTGGGAGATGTTTGGGTAAGGAAATATCTAAACAACAAATATACCACTACTGTTTTCTCCATACTAGTTTGTCCTCTATTCTTTTTAAAAACTATTCTAATATTATTTATTCATGTTGTTATTAAGTAGGATAATTTCAAGATATATTTTTATTGTTATATAATTTGGTGATTATTTTATCTCGTTATTTCATCTTATAGTCCTCACAGAGTAGGAAGTCCGAAGTCTTGGGATAAAATCTTGACATTTTGGCTAATACAGGGATTGAAAGGGTAATCTTGGGATATTTCGTGATATAGCGGGTAATTTGGGGGTATATAGAGGGTAATTATGACATCCTTAGGTATATCATGGGTAATATTGGGATAAAGAAGATAATCGTGGTATATTTGTGGATTTCCTGGGTTATTTTGGGATGTTTTGGCAATTTTGGAATTTTGTGTGGCGGGAAAATTTAAAGATAAATGAATAAACTCGACAACTCGTTCAAAATTGAGACAAACAAAGAAATGGATAAAACTTTGATAAATAAGAACAGAAAAAACTATTTTATTGTGAAACCAAGCCAACATGGTCCAAAGATGGGAAAATATCGACAGAAAGTTCATTCAAATGCAAGTATAAATTGATGTATTTTGAAGCACATGTTCACCATGTTTTAAAAGAAAATTATGACGTATTTGTATTATTAAATATACCTGGGTAGTTTTGAGTATATCTGTTGTTTGTAGAAATTTACCTGGGTAGTTTTGAGAGAGTAATATTTTTTGATTTGGATTTAATCCAAGATAATTTATAAATTCATCTGCCACATCACTTAGATTACTTGGCTGTATCATCAAGACATCACCTGGACTGTAGCTGTTGCAACAAAATTTATATAAACCAAGGTAAGCATTATCTACTGTTAGAATGCAAAAAAAAATCCAGCCTAAATTGGCTGGAGTATAAATATAAGGGTGGTAAGTCAGTAAAATATTGACTTTTGCAGCAGCTGCAAATATAGCCATTATGTATTGCTTATTCCTACATGAGGTAGACTGCAGTTTTTAATGAGATCTTGGGGTGCAAACTCTAGAAGAAAGCATGCAAACAGTTTTGGGAAGCACATCAACAACAAGTGACGTGAAAATAACAGAAATAGGAGCAACTTAGAAGAATCTGAAAATATTTTAAATGAACAAATTCTTGGTGGTGTCAGAATGTTTCCTTCAAAGATATTTTGACCAATTTGAACATTGATCTTACCTCGTACCTGAGGATGTTAGATCAAATGTTATCAACCTGACATCTTGAAAATGATCTGGTGTAGTGACACGTTCATTTTCAACTATTGTTGATAAATATGGACAATCTTTTGAGACAGTTGATCCGACTTCATCATTTACTATAACACAAATCATAAAGAAATTAACCAGGCAGAAAACTCAAGTTAAAGATGAATATATGTAATGCCATGTGTAATCTTTCTGTATTATTGTCTTACTGTATTTCCGTGCCAATAGTCATGTCTTATTCCTTACCATTATTATGGGGAATATCAGTTTTACCATTACAACCAGCATCAGCTTTTGTTAGTTCATTGTGAGAGTCTTTGTCAGATAAAATTGTCACTTTATATCTCGGAAGAGGTCTAGTATAAACAAAATTAAGCGAAATGCAGTGAAACATCAAAACTATAAAAATATTAGATGCAACAGACTAGGCATAATGGTTATTAAAAACAAGCACAGATATCTCTTACTTGATGCTAGAACTGATGATTTCCTTGCCAACTGGCAAAGGAATTATTTCCAAAATTTTTTCCCAAAGTTTTTTTAACCATGGATCTATAACAGCATCTGGACTGTTAACATAAAAGATAATCTCAATTAATATATTTCCACCATGCATTTTGTGTTCCAATAAATGTCATTCAACTCCGTCTGTTGTCTTGGTAATGCTTACTGAACCAATACTAACCCCAGATCATGTTGGTCATCAGCCAAGCCTAATGCTACCAATTCTTGAGCGCCTAATTGAGCCAGACGTTTAAATAATTTCTTGGCTATGAAGTTGAACCTAAATAACAAATCAGGACTCTTATTAACTGTGCATGTTTATAAGTACTGTTTTTGTCAATTTGAGCATGTTGGATTTTTTACTTTGGATAAGATGAGTCTCCTAATCCAAGAACAGCATAGGTTAAACTCTGTAGACAATGAGATGGTAAGTTCTTACGAAGAAGAAATTTCCAAAACACCTAGAGTGCAAGAAATGTACAGTACTTGATTTTTGAACTTGGAAAGTGCTCACAAGTGTTTTCATCTGTGACGGTAATAATAAGTGTATTTTCTACCTTCATATTATCTGGTTCTTCTCCATCTCCTGTGGTTGCACACACAAATATCACTAAATTTTCTTCAATCAAATTTACCTGGTAACATCAGGATGAATATATTACATGCCTGCTATTACACCACACTGGGCAAGCTAAGAAATAATTTGACTGTGGTGGGAATCGAACCTTTGGTATATATAGTGTTGATATCAGTACAGTGCTGAGCACTCAAGGTGTGACAGGTTTGATTCCCACAGTGATAACACAGTTTCTCAGTTTGCCTGGTGTGAAGGTCATCTCATGGTAATTATTACACAATGATATGTTTTATTTCAATATTGTACTCTGCCGTATTCGCTACCCTTTATACAAATTGTGTTTCTTGGCAAAAATTTATACTCTAGTACAAACTACATACAATGTTATAATCATCCATAGCTAGCACGTTAGGGACTATGAACCTTCTCCTAGCCTCACGTCCAATCCGTTCAGCAACCTCTTCAGCAGCGCCAGTCTGAGAACCGTATAAAACAAGCAGTTTGCGTCCTTCACTTTCGTCCTCCATCTTGGATCTTAGTTCCCAATCTTCTTGTATAAATTACGTGCGCGACTTCTGGGTGGTCATCTGGTAGTCATGAATATATTTCCCTATTCGGACAATTAGGGCTTCCTGTTCCCCGGTCATCAGGGTTGAGATGAGAGTTTGCAGTCACGGAATAGCGATGGGGACATTTCAAGCTCTACTGCGCTTTGGATTGACAAAATAAAGGTTTGAATAAAGTTCAAACCATCTTTTAAGGTCAGGGAGAAATTCTGGTGACATGATTCATCTCGTCTCATATGAACCATATATGAGCCGGAATGAATCGTTTCTGAACCAAGGTCGCGTGACTACCAACTCTCATGCTCTCTCATTCTCGTTTCATATGCGCTTAAAACATCAAGAGATCGAAAACAGGTGTAGGCGTATTCTATAAAAAATTAAAAATCTAATTAGTCTACATATCTTTGTGGAAATTGCAGTGTTGCCTAGTAAAGACAAGACATGTTATTGTCCATATTGAATAGTCACTCGTGATAAGGGAATTCATACGTGATCTCATTGTCAAAGATGGCTAAAATATTCGTGTGTCACAATCGGAACAATGGCAATGCCGAAATATAGTTGGAATTGTATTTTTTCCAAAATAATTTTCATTCCAATATCACGTTCATTGACATGCTGGCCACATGCAACGCCTTCGTTAGCGTTATTTAGACAGCCTTAAAAACTTTTTCTTCAACGAAACAAAGAAATGTTTCCACGTCTTTATTGGTCGTCAGGGTAATGACAATGCCTAACACAAATGTATAATTTACAGCTGTAGTACTGTTGTTTTAATTATTTCAATATTTGTTCACCTGGCAATACGATATAAAACTTTGGCAGGGTGGAAAAGACGGAGTATGGAGTATTTCGCCTAGATTCGATTTTAATGTAATGAGACTCCGCGTTTTCCATGGGGCATGAAGTGAAAAACACGGAGTCCATTAAAATCAAATCTTCAGGCAAAATAACCAATTTTTTTGACAGACTCCTCGTTTTCCATTTTTAAATCGAATCTAGGCGAAATAAACAATTTTTTGCCAGACTCCGTCTTTTCCACCATTCCTATTCATCTCTCTGCTAATTGTTCTTGTCAGTTGAGATTTGCCTTTCGCTTTCTGGACAATGGTTAAAATTTATTATATTTCAAATTCGCTTTGTGATTTTCGAAATCTTGATTTTTCACTTTTGAACGGCTCAGTTTTATTAGAAGTTGGCTAACAAAACGACACAGGCATACAACTGAATCAGTCCATATGGTAAATTACCAGAATGATAAATGAAAATCACCATGTTGGCATAGTGTAGGCTTCATCGTAAGAAATTGAAGGAAAGTTTTGTTTTGAAATCGTCCAACAATTCACTTCCCAATTTGGAAAATCACCGTACATGGTAAATCACCATAGAATAATGTGTGTCATGAGTTATAAAATATAAAAGTATTTTTCAATCAATAAGTAATTTCCTGTATTATTACATGGTTGGTTTGAAGCGGTAGCTTTGCAAGTTCCACCATACCCGGCGTTTGACGTCAAAAGAAATGAAGTATAACGTTGATACGAAAGCCCATATAATCGTTAAATATATCTTTATTGTCTTTATTCTTTCATACACAATGAGCCGGACACGCAATGCCAATGTCATGTGCAATGACACGAAACTGTAGACAAACAACAATATATATAAACACCACCAATAAAGACACTTTCATACACACAACAGAGCAATGGTTTCTTGGCCGACTTAAAATAGCTTTTACTTTTTCATAAAACTAATTAAAATGTCATTGAAACATGGTTAATCTCAATGGTCACTTAATATTTGTTAATTTGTTATTAATAAACCATGTGTTCAATGAATTTCACTGCGTAGTTTTTCGTTGCTATACTCTGTAGGTGGTTACTCTTTGCAATTCGGCCTGAATCAGTTTCATCAAATTTAATTAACTATTCGTACTGATAATAGGTGGATTTTCACACTATCGTGCAACAGATGCTGCTTGGTTATCAGAATGTGAAAATAATTCTTCTCATCCTATGTGTAGTCTCTTGGAGTCGAATAAATGAAGATTTACTAATTTTCTTGCTTCTAAGTAAGGCTACGTCCGTACTATAAGTAATAGTTCAAATACGAAACAGAGGACTTTACCGGGATTTCAAAGTCCGAGAGCATTTTGAAAAGGCGAGCCTTTTTAATGCTCGAGGACTTCGAAATCCCGGTAAAGTCCGAGAATCCGTTTTCGTATAGCATTTTGGCATTGTTCCCGTTCACAAGGTCAAGGGAATAGTGAACAGTCGTCCCATTACATTAAACAATACGGAAACAGGTTGGTGTGGACGTAATCTTGAACTGTGTGTGCCAGTCTAGGTAGTACCAATAAAATGAACAAGCTTTAGTTGATAGGGATGAAACTACCTGAAAATATAAGGAGAATTTCGACGTTTCGAGCGCCCTTCGTCTGGAGTTACTGGGGCCTTCTTGAAACGCCGAAATTCTCCTTATATCTTTTAATAATAATAATAATAAACTTTATTTATATAGCACACAAATCCAAAGCTGTTCAAGGCGCTTTACATGATTTAAAAATAAAACAACTATATACAAATAAAGTAAGGTACCTAAAGTTATCTACATGAACAAAGATTTGCTACTAACAAATTTTGAAAAAAGATAAGTTTTAACTGACTTCTTAAAAGCGCAAACACTAGATGACTTGCGAATAGTCAATGGTAAAATATTCCAAAGTGTAGGTGCACAAACTGAAAAAGCTTTATCACCATATGTCTTCATTTTCAGGTAGTTGCACCCTACCTACGAAAACTTGTTCATTTTAGCGTGGACGTAGCCTACTAAAGTTTCAACAGTTCTGAATTTGACCATCCATCCCTCTTTACAGACGTTTACTGAGGTAGATGCGATTCCGCTGTGAATGTACAACCATTGAATTTTTGAATGTTTTATTATGAAAAAATATTTACATTGATACCACGAGAAGAAACCTTGTGTTAGCTTTTCAACAGCAAAGTGGGGGGGGGGGATGAACACCTAGTATACTCTAGGAATATAGCCGGAAATTATTCTTTTAATTAAATGATCATAACTCGGACATAATTGAAAGGGTTGGTATAGTTATAACTGAAATTGTTAGGATATCAGTCAGTTTTAAAACGGAACATTGATTGTTGAAATGTTAACACAAAGCTGTACGTGGCTACATACACACAGAAAGCATACTTGCTAGTTTGATAAAGTCATGAAGTCCAAAGCTTTTACTAAAGCTCACAATGAACAAAACACAACCAGTCACTGCCAAAAATAAATGTACATGTATTTTTAACGTTTTGGTGCTAAAATACTATCTTTGAAATATACTGTCAGTGGTAATTAGTACGTTTTGGTATGAAGCACTTGCCAAAAATAAATAATTTCATGGACCAGCCAGACTTAAATACTGCATAATAAAGCTAATTCTTAAATATTATAAATTAAATATAACAAATAATGTGATCCTTGTCAGCTGTAGGAAACTTAAATAGGACTGAAACATAGATCATGGATACTAGCTAACTAGCAGAGTGCAGACTATATCATTTTGGCAGTGACTGACAGATATAATTATTACATATCTTTTATCAATATACAAAAATAGTAGCACTAAATCTAATAACAACTTTGAATTTACATCATCATACACACCTGTATCAAATAGGAGCGAAAATGTCTTCGCAATGTACTTGTACCATATTTGGCACATGGAATATATACATACAATATAAACAGCTATATACACAGGGTTATGGTTAAATAACACTTTTGGTAATATGGTTATGTCTTGCATAAAGATATGGTTTGTAGTATAAATATACAAGCAACACTCAATGGTCATTTTTGACCATCATAAAAATTTGAATGAATATACTCTTAATATTCTATTTATATACAGATATACACATATGAAATGACTTCATACACTCAGGACTGCCAACACATAACATCCTATATGCAAAACAGACTTTTCCAAACTATAGTTAATCAGTAGGAACTCAATATTGCATTCACTCATTATCCTATCAACAAAACAAACAAATTTCTAGCTACCTAAAACAATCCATCTGACATTTCAATGGTGTCCTCATCAAACTCGAAGGTGATGCAAGATGGTCGCAGGCGCAGCTCGTAATCTTCTAACTTGTGAACAAGGACACTGAACAATGGTCGTTCTTCAGGCGCTGGAAGCCAACATGACTGCATGATGCTGTACAGGTCATCAGGACAGCGCAACGGTCTTGGTAAGCGTTTTCCGGTCTCGAGATACTGGGTTACCTCGTAATTATCAAGTCCTGCATAAGGCTGTGAGCCTAGTGTCACTAACTCCCATAAGACAATACCGAACGACCAAACGTCACTTTTCTCAGTGAAAATATAGTACAATAAACTCTCCAGTGCTAACCATTTAACTGCTAGCTGGGTAGGGTGCTCCATCTTATACAGATCAAACTGCTTGACCTCTCTTGCTAGACCAAAGTCTCCAATCTTAACATTCAAGTTTGCATCAACCAAACAATTTCTTGCAGCTAAATCGCGATGGACGACTTTCTGACTTGCAAGGTACTCCATACCCCTCGCAATCTGACCTCCAAAGTTAACCAACTGTTGGGAACCAATGAGCTGTCTTCGAATACCAATTCCGCGGGAATGGCGTAGAAATTTATGTAAATCCCCATGTTGCATGTATGGGGTTAGAATAAGCGGTGATGAGCTGGGTTGAAGAACGACGCCAAGCAATTCAAGCAAATTCTCATGACATAACTTTTTCATAAGAATTGCTTCGTTCACCAAGGATATCATGTGATCGAATTCCACATTTTCTTGGCAAATTTTCACAGCTAAATCAACATTGTTTTCCGTTTGCTCACACGCAACTATCAATCTACCACGCAATACACGACCAAACGTGCCTTCTCCTAAAACCTCTCTACGGATTTCGACTCGATCGCGACATTTTAAACTGTCTCCCAGTTTTTCCGTCCAATATTCGTTGAGAGTTGCAAAAGCTAACTGTTTGTCCGGCGTGTCTTTTGCAAGCGATAATCTTTCTTCGCGTTTCTCTCGATTTTGTGTTAAAGCCACGTCAGTTTCATTTGATGCAAACACATCATCATCAGTGATGCTTATTTGAGTAAAAAGCTGGCGATTATTGACAGACGATCGTCCGTTAAATGAAATAGGACTTACATGGCCATTGCTGAGATTTTCTCGTGCGGTTGTTGTAACAGAGTCGCAAGAATGTGCTTGTATTGTCGTTGTATTTTCATGTTTCGCAATTTTCGTAAAGCTCTGTCCCGATGTATGTCGTTTGGGAGAATATACAACCGTAGGGAGGTGAGATATATGGGGAATTGAAATATTTGATGAAGTAAAGCTCTCTCGATGCGGGGAGAGTTGTTCTGTGGCTTCGTCGAAGCCAAATCTCCTCCTGATACGCTTCACGTAACGCCAGAAAAACACGACAGCGATTATCACACAAACAAGTAAAGCCAAACTAGCGCTCACTGTAACTACGACTGTACGATCTATTGAATTCGTTTGACTTGATTCAGTAGTTGTTTTGCTCTCGCTTCGATCGCACTGTTTAGAAATAGTAAAATCTAGCGTCCTTTTCACAGTGATCTTCTTGAAATTTGTGTAGTTCAATGAGAAATGAATATGCACCAGTCCTTGAACCATACCAGTGCAGTAGAGATAAACTACAAACGTTCTAGAACCTTTAGAAACAGTTACAGTTCCTTCCAGATCATGTGGTTTCATCATCGGCTGCTGCAGTATTTTCACATTCTCAGAGGTTATACGCAATTGATATTTTTCGTCGTGTTTCAAAGCTAGCCATGTTAGTTCAATATGGTCCAAAGTCGCAGGCAAAGCGTTTGTTGTTTCAGTAAATAACTTAGAATTTCTAAACACTTCGTTCTTAACTCCATTCTTTATTAAAAATATATCATTTTTAACATCCAATTGCATCTTATTGACGGCAAAGTCGCGATGAATGTACAATGTTAGACCGCATTGCGTTCTTTGAAACGCACAACACAACATCAAAATGGCGAGACATTTCAAACGGAGATTTCTGCTTTGATTTCTTCTCGCCATTGTGCAGCTTTGATGTAGGCTTTGACCTGTCTCACCATGTCATATAAATATCAAGGAAGTATAAAGATAACATTTCTCACAGCGTAGTAATCGGAGACGATGAGAAATACACTCACACCTTCGAATACGACGTAAACACAACATTCCATTCACGAGGAGGGCGGGTCACATGATCTGCGTCATTGACCAATCAACGTCAATCAACAACCGGTTATACCGGAACCCATGGCGATAAGAACCGTCAAAGGCTCAAAGCTCCTTAAAGTTACTCTCAAAAAAGGCTCAATTCTGGTTATTTTATTCTCATTTTAGCACTCTTTTATGCTAAAACTATTCCCTGTTCTATTTTGTACGAATTCTCGATAAAACCCCAGTATTTTAAAGCTTTCGAACCTCGCTGGAGGCCATTGAAACAATGAACGGAATTTCCCGCGCTTGCTTTCCTGCTTAAGGAAGTTTGCTTGTTTTAGGATTAGTTGTATAAACCGAATTAAATTCTGTCTTAACATGAAATAATATCACTCCACAATGAGATTCATGCTTTCAAATGGAAAAGTACTATATTTCAGGGCAATACTGCAAAAAATTCTAAATTGGTTGAAAGTGTTCTAAATTGGGGTAAAACTAAAAGTGTTCTAGCTAAATTCTAATTGGGTTCAGGTTCAGACATAAATATAAATATATATCAAAGTTACGGGTCTCTACAAGTTTTAGTAAACCTATCATTTGCTTACAAATTGGTCTTTACTTTGGTGCCCAATTGACGCTTGCATCTATATAGATTATTATAGAATCCATGCCAGTATTATTTAGCATGTAAAGACTGGTGTTACATACATCGCAGTTTCTATGACTCTGCAGAAATTCTGACAATATAGTGCTGAATAGGAAACTGCTGTAACAATTGCCGCGTAAGATGTCTCAGATATCACAAGATCTAGACTATTAAAGTTACCAATAAAAAAGCACAACCATTAAAAATTGGCAATTGCATACGATATTTTTAATTTAATTTTCAATAAAATTCACAATTAACATAATTAACACTAAAATGTATTTATAGTTTCAGGGTATCCCTGGACGAATTCCTGCTTCAACCCACAATGGAAATTAATTACGGTGAATTATTGACAGGTATTTTATTGTTAGTACAAATATAACTATATAATAATAGTATTTTGAAGGAAATGAAACAGTTATATAGTAACTATTGAGTATTGTTCAGGACGGTTATTTAACTATTGTCAAGAATTGGCCACACCACCGAAATACTGACGTCAAAATGCTTGCGCAAAGCCAAGAAATGATATTGCCCTGTCGGCATCGGCTCCATGTTGTGACATTGATGATTTACCCTTGAGCGCCGCGACCATCAGTGGCTGCGACCCTAACGTAAAATCGTTGCGCAATTCTTAAGCGTCTCCCGTCATTTTCCATGAATACACGAAGTGTAGTTGAGCTAATTTTATAACTGAATTTTCAGGAAAGATAACTGTTTCTGATAAGGATGAAACACCCTCGTATCTTTGCGTGTACGTTGCACCAGGCCGCCAGCCTTTCATCTTAATTATAACCAGACTTTTAATATTGGTTACTATAAACATGGGGTCTACCTCGGCCCTCGGGGTCCACTTCTGAAGTTTGATTCTCAACGTCTTCTCATTCAATGTTAACACCACATAATCAATCGAATGTTAATTGCATGACAATGTGGACAAGATTCTGAAATGATTTCTAGAACGAAACATGGGAATGTACGGGGTATAATTATTGCGACCGTTGATTGATAAAAAGTTGTAGAAATTGTTGCTCATTGTTTTCAGGTCGTAATCCGATATAGTCCAATACATATAAGCTGCTCAAAAACTGAGTGCTTTAAATTAATTTTTTTATCGAGAAATTTTATCCCCTCGAAGTTTTCAATCACGCGGTGTGTCTGTTATTAACCTTTCAATTATCTTTATGTCGTATTGCATTTTACCACTTTGATTTTTGCTTGGCTTTTTTGGAAAAACAAGCAATAATCATGCTGAAAAAGAAGGCAATATCAGTCATATCTTTCATCTCATGAGAGGAAATATCTTCCTTCCTTTTAAGTCAAGTACTGTAAACTAACCCTCAAATCGTTAGCTCATCAATGTTCTGACCATGAGAGTCTGTTTAATTAATAAAGTAAGGACAGCATTATGTCAATGCGACAATGCCTCAGCCAAGATATCAGTGGTCTCTCTCTTTTCTCCAAAGTAGCAACTGGCATGCCTCTTCCGTTTGAAAAAATCTAGAGCCAGTACAAGAAAGATAGTAATATCAAGTTGATTATCAACTCTATGGAAGGAAACAAAGAGAATGGATATGAAAACTGAAAAGGAACCTAAACGGTCATCATGTCAGTCTTACGTATTCTAAAAGCTCACTCACACTCAAACACCTATACTGCTAGGTACACACCTAATTGATGTGGAAATCCTATGGAGAAGGAGACAAAAGAAACTCATGACTAATCCATTTTTTCGCAATTTCTGACGTAGAAAAGCTAAGTGGGGTGCATTAAAATGGAACAGGGTGCTTACAATACCGGATACAAAGCGTGCCAAAAAGCAAAGGTTATTAAGGTTCATCACTTCCTGTGTTTCATTTATCTCGCTGAAAGGAAAGTGGAGTAATAATCTACTTGTGCAGCAACAGTCATGTATCTTTGAGTGTTCAATCACAGGTTTTTTTCAACCGAGTTTGAGGTATAGATTTACGGAGGCAAAGGTTGAACTCTGCATGGTTAATTTCCTCCCACTCTCCTCGATATGCAGTGGCTTACCCTCTAACCCTAACATGCCTGGCAATTCGCGGGTACCAGTATAGCACACACGAAAAACGCCTCTGTTGGAGAGAGATTTCTTCCTAATTCCTATGTTTGAGTTGCTAATTTCCATGTAAGATCATATTCCATTTCCTGCTACATACGTCCTTATGTCATGAGTTGTATCACTGCATTCAATGTTGAACTTTGTGTCCGACTCGTATCAGATTTTGCTGTGGTTCAGCTCAAATTTTATAATTGCGGACTTTAGCGATGGGGGTTTGAGTTTTGAATTTAATTTTTCGCTCCAGAGAATGCAATTTCCTACAAGCGCGACAAGTCGGCTCATTCGTTTTATTCGCTCACGCACTCGTTTTACGTACTCCTTGCATTGCGAGACAAGTTACAATGAGTTGCGAAGCGCGTCTGCAGCTAAACCTTGACGGTAGTAAGTCTATACAAAGTATATATCTGACAAAGGTTTTCCCTCGGTGATTTATCGCAAAATACGCGCGTGGTTCGTGCGTGGGTGTTCCCACATTCCTTTCTTATTAAAATTTCTATAGACCAAACCGCAGGAGATTTCATTTGAAAATTTAGTATTGTGCTGTCGTCATAACATTATTTGTTGTATCACGTTTACATCAAATATAATATTGACCGCAAACGCTTTGCTGACAGATACATCCAGCGTGATCTTTCAACTCTTGTGTATTTGAGTAATTGTGACAATGCATGACGTCATGAGTACTGCACGTACAGTACACGGTGAAAATCTTTACCAGATGTTTGGCAAAATATCGTCTACGTGGGTTAACTACCCAGTCTAAAGACTTGACTCACTCTATCTCGTCAAAAACTCTTAGCACTTCTAGTCTATAACGACATTGATTGCTCTGTCCCGTCTATAAAGGAATCTTCTATCAACAAGTGAACTCTTCGGGCACTTCATAAATACAGGACCATAACTCCATATAAGTTGGCTTGAATCATGGTATGACCTTCGATGTTCGATGGAGTGTCCTTCATGAGGGGCTCAGTCACTAACCAATATTGGATACCCCACGTTTAATATAGTATGATGATGAAAGATCCTACAACACTCACGAATACTCTCAACCCATGATGGAACGTTAACGCAAAGTGCGTGACGTCATCAGTGTACCACCACCAGATGTAACCACGGAATAATATGTCAATGGTTGTGCACCGTACTAGGTACATGTGTTAGGAGTTTACGTCTTTGGAACGGTTGCCAAAATTCAAGATTGTAACCTAGAGCTCTACGTTGCTAAATAATCCCTTTGTATAATTTAACAATACTGCCATCCAGTCATGATCCAGTGATTGGAATATTCCATTGTCTTTTCATTGCTATGAAAATCCCACTGATGTTTTGGCTTGAGTTTAATAATATTCAGCGAAGGGCCAGCATGAAGTGTCGTCATTTGAGTACATGCTAGGAGGGAACATATGTTGCTATAGTACGGTTCTACTAACTACCAACTTACTCTGCTAGTTTGTAAATTATTATGATAAAAATGGCATGTGGCCATCGCAGATTCCACCAGAAGATGTGAAGATAGCGAATGGATTATCTTTCACAAAGTTGTTTATCTCGTCTACTTTAATTAAGTTCCATCATCATACTTGGGAATGATACTTACATGGCATTAAACCTCACCCATCCCGTATTAAGTATTCCTTTTTTAGTCACGTATCAAGACGCTGGCGTCATCAGTGCTCGTATGAAGTAGAATGATTCATGGCTTTCAAGAATTAAGACGTTCTGCACGTCGAGTCATTTAGAGATCGTATAAATAGAATCATACAAGTAACTGTTTACTGTTCTACTTGGTATAAGTACTATTTAAAACACGAGCAGGAGTTATTTATCACATATAAAGCACGAAGCTTAAAAAACGACCTATCTTATGAGTTCATTGGTAATTTTAAAAATAAACATTGTCTAAGTCAGGAAAATCAAAGCTAAAGAGTTCATGTAAATGAACATGGTAGGATTTCCTTTTCCTTATGATCATGGCCAAAACTACTTGATACTTACATGGCATTAAACCTCACCCATCCCGTATTAAGTATTCCTTTTTTAGTCACGTATCAAGACGCTGGCGTCATCAGTGCTCGTTTGAAGTAGAATGATTCATGGCTTTCAATAATTAAGACGTTCTGCACGTAGAGTCATTTA